GCTGCTGCTGCCTGTTGCTGCTGCTGTTGCTGGTATGGGTTGAATTGCCCAGCATGCTGGAGGTATGAGAGCGGTTTGGGGGAGATAAGCCCCGCCATGGCCATGGTTTTTGGAAGTGTGGTCAGTGATGCAAGCCGCGAGTAATGTGTAGTGTGGGTGGGGCGATTGTGTGTGTTTGCTTAGTAAGCTAACTTTATGAAGGACCCTACAGCAACGAATCACGATTAATGGGTTGATAGTATACGCAAGTCCAGGCGTCGTATAGCAAACTGTGTAAATCCACAACCACATGACTAGCCAGCAAACTAGCGCTAAATAGATGAAAAACTGTAAAAGAAAAGAAAAACAAATTGAAAGAAAGACTCGACTCCCTCAAAAACCAAAAAGCCGAAGGAAAATCCAATAACTACAAAGGAACGCTCATAGACAAAGGACAAGGACGGTATCGGGTGTCAGAACGAACTCGGATGTGCTATGTTGAACAAAGCGAAGGTATCCAGTGAGCAGCGCACTTGAAGTGAGATGATGATAAGGAAAGTGAGCAACAGCAACCAAGATTAGGTCCCCGAAATGAATGGATGGGGTGAGTATGGGATCGGGTGCGTACATATCGACAAGATACATGGGGGATATATCGTCAGCGGTCGTTATTTCGTCTGGCGGGTTGGGGTTGGGATGGGTACGGATCATGAGTAGTTCTTCTCTAGGACCCGGGGCATCTTTTCCATTCGGACATCGTCGCCATCGAACTCGCTTTCGTAGTGCTCGTGTATGACGCCTTCGGCCGGTGAGTCTGTTACGGGCGTTACGGGTCGACTTGATACGAGTCCGCCTGTGGAGGAAGTTGCGGTGATGGTTGATACGATCTGTTGATTCTGGGGATAGTATGATCGCCGGAGCATCTTCTTAAAGTCATATGATGCGAACCTGTGTTAAATTAAGAGGATACGAGGAAAAATGGTGTGAAATTGCGTACTGCTCTTCCATCTGTCTCATTTCGGCACTCAGTGTGTTAACATCTCGCGTCTTCCGTGCTTTAGCCTTTAATGGATTGTCTTCAAGTAACAATTCCTCCAATTCGTGCGATGCATCAAAGTTTGCCTTCTTTGACTTCGGAGGGCTTAGAGCGCGGATAATGTTCGGACTAAAAAGGACTCACATCAGGAGTGAACGGTGGCGGTAATTCTTTGGCTTCAAGTGTCGCCCAGTCAATGGGATGGAACCAGGGGTGTCGTTGCATTACTTCGTAGCCATCATTTTGCTTACACGTGAGTCTCTTGGAAGGATCACGGTCCAAGAACTGCGAGGAAATCAGCACAAGAGGGTAGGCGGCATGATCCACGTACCCCTTTCAATGCCATCATGCCTGCTCGCGAGCACTTCTTATCGGCATCGTCGGGAAAGCGTAAGCTGTCTTTGCTAATGCTGTGGGTCAAGTCGGTATTTGTCTTTCCGCGGAAAGGTCTCCGACCGAAGAGAAGCTCGTATGCGCAAACGCCTAGGCTCCACCAGTCGATCGGGTAAGTATAGCCGCGTTTGGCAAGAATCTCGGGAGCCATGTAAGCCATGCTACCTGCAATGCCGGTAAGCATGCGGCGCTCGCTAAAGTGTACAGCAATATTGAAATCTGTGAGGTGTGCGTGACCCCGTTCATCGAGGAGAATGTTATCGGGTTTAAGATCACTGGTGTGGTAATTATGAAGGGGTGACAGATCCGGGATCGGATCACACATACCGGTGCATGATTCTGTGTTCATGAAGGAAGGCTAGAGCTGAAGCTATTTCTGCGACGTAGAAGCGTACTGTGTCCTCTGGTAACGAGCCTAACCGTTCAAGATGGACTGAATGGGTTGAAACGGACTAAGCGAAGAGGTAGAAGAAAACGAGGGCAACGTACATCTAAGGTCACCACCGAGCATGAGATCCAGGACGAAGAAACAGTTTTCATCGTCTTGGAAAGCATAACGAAGGTTAACGACGAATGGATGGTCGATCTATCAATTGAATGAATGAGAGGTGAAGATGTTGTTGTCTAGGTACTGACCTCCTCGAGCAATCTTCGTTCCTGAATGATATTTGCAACTGCTTTCATCTTTACACACTTTGTCTTGTTGATATATTTCAAGGCATACAACTCTCTGGTCTGTTTGTGTTGGACCATTCGGACCTAGAAATAAGTACCTTGTTCGTTTTGAGAGCGAAAATTGAGGTATAACAAATACGGACCTTTCCAAATGCACCTTTGCCGACACATCTCAAGAGAACAAAATGAAAGAGATTAACGTCGCCTTCGAAATCTACCGGCTATAACGATGAATTGGTTGGTTCAAGGCAGAATTAAGGCAAGCATACCTGAGGTCGACAGCAAAGGGCGCCCATGATGAAAAGGATGGTGGGATTATATTAAGAGGGTAAGGATGAGAGAATGAAGTAAGCAAAGGGGGGCGTTGTTCAGATATTTCGTCACGCTCCTTGTGACACTGTTTGACTATATTACATAACTTCTGTCACAGACTTATTTTTAGGTATCATAAAAAGTCTCATCGCTGCAGCGGCGCTAGCTTGTATCCCTTAGATGACCATGACTGTTCCTCCTCTAGTCGTATTTGGGCCTTCGGGGGTAGGCAAGGGCACTCTCATCAATCGTCTCATTAAAGAATTTCCAAACTCGTTTGGATTTAGTGTCTCTCGTACGGAGGCTTTCCTTCTAAACCCTCTCACACCATTTAATTGGTTCCCATCCCAAAGATACTACCCGTGCTCCACGTCCTGGTGAGATAGACGGCAAAGCATACCACTTTACCACAACCGATAACTTCAAGAACCTCATCTCCGAGGCCGCTTTCATCGAGCATGCCCAGTTTTCGGGCAACTTCTATGGGACGTCCATTCAAGCTGTGCAAGACGTCGCAGCAACAGGCAAGCGGTGCATTCTCGATATCGAAGTTCAGGTGCATCTCTTCCGCTTCGTCTTCTAGCCTGATCTTCACATGCCATATCCCAGGGCGTCCAACAGATCAAGCAAACGCCCCTCCACGCCACAGTCGTCTTCGTCTCCCCACCCTCCATGACCGTGCTAAATAACCGCTTGCGTGGCCGTGCCACAGATTCTGAGGATGCCATCCAGCGTCGTCTCGCAATCGCACGTAGAGAGATCGACTACGCTCGCCAACCTGGCTCAGTAGATTACGTGATCGTCAATGATGATCTTGATACAGCATATCAAATGTTAAAGAGAATTGCAAACGGAGAGTCGGATGCGAGTGGGGATCAGATGCCTCCCTTGGATGATTAGATCTTTCTATTTATACCCTTACATCATCCCCGTACAAAGGACGTTCCTGCGGATGCCGTAAATCGTGCCTGAAGTACATAGCCCTGCAGGTTTCAAATTCCATCCTATTTATATGGTCGATAGGCCCATATTGAAGCTGACGCCAATGTTCACTTTCTCTCCATATTTGCTCGCAACCTTGACTGCACACGCTACTGACAATGAAGACACTGCATGCACTAAAAAACTTATGGACACCCATTCACTAATCTGATAATTGAGATTTACAGCTATTTTCATATTGATAGACCAGAATCTGGAAAACTCACTTAGCTGCTTTTGTTTGTTGTTGGAGTGACACCAAACAGAGGCACATGCACTAGCTACTTTTGTAACTTGCTTGTGGAATACTAGTACTATGATGACTGCCGACCATCATCATGATGCATGGAAACTGGCAACATATACCAGATGCTGCGAAGCAGCAGTGGGTTGTTATGTCCACACATGGCATGACATCAAAGGCCACAGTGCAAGTGACAGGATCCAGCCATTGAACAGTCAATTGAGTTCTTCAGCTCTTGCAACTCACAGGTTCTGTCATTCAAAAGCCTCTGGAAAGTGGTCATCCTCATCTACTTACAGCACAGGATGTTGCAGTAAGTGAAGGCACAAAAGTATTTTGAATTTGATACCTAACTGTGACAGTACCTTATTTCATGTGTTGAGTGCACTCCTGACATATTTCTATCTAAACTACAAAGTGCTCTATGAGAGGTGAGGGATACTGTAGAGATACACACTTACCTTCAACATCATCCAGGTGTGATCAAACATGTCTTAGCTTTGAAGATTCGAAGATGGGTGTGACCTGTGATACCTCAGAAATAGCTTTGACTCCACTGTGACTGAGCCACTGTCAGTGCCTGCAGCAACAGGCTCTCATTTCTCGATGATCCTCAAGGAGCACTTTGTATTCAGTTATCTGGCAACATGTCAAGCTTCAGGCTTCTCTGTGTATGCATGTACTGTCATACTATCAACACAGATCCTCCAATGTTCAGTAAGAAATAAGTCAGCTCTCAGGATGATTAACTCTGAAACCATCCCACAAAGCCCTTCTGTACCATGGCCAGTTTGCATCTCCTATGTGTTCCTTTGAAGTTTCAGGCTATTGTTCCTTCCCACTCTCTCTCAGTCACTCAGCTGCTTGTCTTCAAGTTGCCCGTGAGTCTCAAAACCAATCCATCATGCACCAGTATTGTTCTTTCTCAAGAGCCCCCCCTGCATGATGTAGAGAAGAATGACATTGAGACATGGGACTGAACCAAGACAGCTCAATAAAGGTTGGAAAACCTCAATCCAAGTTGGCACTAGACAAGGTTGAGCCACCATTTGTGCATGCTGCAGATGTTGAGCTCAATCCTTGTGATATTCCTGTTGATGTGGTTCTACTTCACATCACATCAGGAGGGTCAGTCCCTCGAGGCTATGGTACTGATGATTCTGGCAACCTGCTGGCTTGCAATGAGGCAGAAGGATATGATCAAGAGCTTGCAGCTTCTGCCACTGAGGGTGGTGAAGAAATTTTTGGTTGTGGGAAGCGCAGATGCATGGAAAATATGCAGTACAAATTTTTTTGGAAACATTGACCATAGTTTAGGTGTTTTTTTCATGTTTTACTGTATGTCACAATTTACCTTTGACACTTTCAACTTTGTGTGACAGTCACACAAAATAGCTTTGATTCAAAGGATGTGTGATGCTGTGATGAAGGTAAGTGTGTATCTCTACAGTATTGAGTGTCCCTTGCCACCATTGAACAAACACTACATAGGCATGGATTGACTCACAAGCATGTATGTAAAATATGTTTGTGCATGTAAATTCTGACAGTGTCATACAGGTGACTCAAGCTGCAATTGAGCACAATGAAGGCAAATGCGACCAATATCAAATTTTTATTGCTGAAAATTTCTGTCCTGACCAGCTCATCTTCATAGATGAATCTGCCTGTAACTGAATTATGACTAAGCGCCAAAATGCATGGTCACTGACAGGAGTGTGTGCTCATCAGTGCAATTGTTTCATTTGGGGTCAGGGGCATGTCAAAATTTTGCTGATGGGGGTGTCTTGACAGTAGTTTGTTTTTTCAGATATTCTATTCTTCCTGCTATCTCACTAGATGGCATCTTACATCTCAACATCCAAGATCATTCATATACTGCAGCGATATTCAATGAATTCATAGGGGGGTTTACTCAACAATATGAACCAATACCCTCAGAAGAACTCTGTTATTGTGATGGACAATGCTAGCATACACAAGTCAGCATATCTCAAAGAGATGATCTGGCAAAGGTATGTTATCCCAATGTCACTGTTTGAGTTCTGCCATTGACCATTGGTCTTTTTTCAGGGGGATGTGCCTCATTTATCTGCCACTTTATTCTCCTGACTTCAACCCTATTGAAGAAGCCTTTTTGGCCCTCAAAGCTTGGATAAGGTGGAACCATATGCCAGAGGTAAATTTACAGGTGAAATGACCTGTGATCCTTATAGCCTGCTGTGGGAAGCAGTGTTTGCATCTGTGACAGGAAAAAGTTTGAGGATGGTTTGCAGACAGTGGATACTTGATGTGATTGATAATGTACAATTACAGCTAGTACATGATCATGATGAGAATACAATATTTTGTACAACCACAAGTACTACTTGACAACTACAAATCAAGGCTTCAAATGTTTGAGCTTTGTTCAAATTTCAACACTTTGCTCACAGCAGCACTGAGCACTATAGTTCTCTTTACCATCGTTTTTAGTGGCCCTTCCTTTGCCCTTTCTGGTGTGTTGAATGAGTCAATGAGTGACTTTCAGGAATGACTGAATGACACCCATGGGCATACCAACAACATCAACAAAAAACTCATCTGATAGGCCAATCACATTATTGACATATGTGACCCCATGATTGAGGAGATCATCCTTATATTGGGACATATGCAAAAGTGGCATCGTGACATCCATTTCATGAAGGATGTCAGTGATGGGAGGGTAGGTGATAAATTCATCATCCTTGTCATGGCAAAGGAAAGTTGTTGCAAAACCCTGGGAAGTATTGACTTGATGGTGGTCACCAGTATCACCAAGAGCCTCCTTAGTAGGGATATGGACATGAATGACTGGAAGAGTAGGAGTTGCACTAGTAGCAGATGGGCCGTTTGCTAAAGATAATTGACGTTTCTTTGGAACATGGTCAAAGGCAGCCATCTCTGGGGGTTTATCATAGGTAGCCTCTGCCAAGAACATCAAATACATGTCAGTCAAATGTCACTGATATGAGTTTCTGTCACTTACTATCTTTTTTGCCCAGAGGGTGAGGTTATAGATATCTTGAGCTTCATGGTCACCACTAATAGGATTGATATAGCAGAATTTGCTGTGCTTCTTGCAGTCGAGCTTATTCTTGAGCTCTCACAACTTGGCAGCAAAGCTCATGCAGGTCGGAGGGTCTTGATTGTCATTGACAGCTTCATGATGATGAGAACGAGTGGCAGAGGGTGCTTGATGAGCTGGTTTCTAATAGTGTACTAGTCAGTAAGCAATACTCAACCACTAAGTATTCTCTTACCAGGTTATGTATTTCAAGAACTACTCACTGACTTTGAGCTCATTTGATGAGATCACAGCCCTGCTTGAATGCCTCTCAAAGCTGTTGTTCATTGGAGAGCTGATGAGGGGCATCTTGGACTTGATCATTGTGAAACTTGTACCTGATGAAGGAATCAACTACTAAGCTATGGCACTACAAGGGATACCAAGTCAGAGTATATGTGTGGTTGTCTCAGCTCTGCCTAGGTTGCTATACTTTGCAAAGGCAAGTGCGTTCAACCCAAGGGGAAGCGAGTGCAACACATCCACAGGTTGCATGAAGCATGGGAAAGTCACATGCGCGGAGGCAAAGGCACGCACAGAGAGTGGTAGGATGCACGAAGCGTGGGAAAGTCGCGTGCTAATAGGTGAAAGTGTGCAAAGGGCTAGGAATGCGATGGGGACTAAGGGAGGGTGATGACTGATACTGATGGGCACAAGGATGACAAATGCAATGATGATAGAGTGTCATTGCCAAAATGCTACTGACTATGGCTCAAAAAAAGCATGCACTATGCTGAGGGATGCTAAGGGATACTAACTCCCCACTAAGTGGTAGCTAACTAACTGATAAAAATGTGAATGCTATCATGCAAAAGGCAACTAAGTGTGTTCCCATGATGTGGAGCCAACATGAGTAAGGCATGGGAATGAAGAAGGTATATGTAAGTAAGGGTCCATGATGGAATATGGTGTCATGATAAGAATAAATGCAAAAAACATGCCAGTAGGACTTGCTGGACAATGGATGGATGCTCCTGGATGATGGGCGATGAAGTGCGGGAAAGTGCGTGGGACACATGCAGGAATGTGTCGTGGGAGAGTGGTGTGCACATTGCATGAAGCACGGGAAGATCACACATGTATAGGCTGAGTGAAGGAATGATATAGGGAATGATACTGCAAGTTTGTGCTGTGAACTGTATGCAGATACATCACAATATAGGGCTCTACAGGCATACAGAGGCATGAGTCTCTACACCAAGTTTGGCATTCACTGGGTCAAGGTCCATCTTTGCACAAATGTGTGAAAAAAAGTCTTCAAATGTAATATTGACAGGAAGGCAGATTTGGACACAGCTGACATGTCCACCTACAACTCCAGTATTTAATGGTACAGAGATATCAATGTTGGTGATAACTGGCAATACATGAAGTTAGATATTATCTAGTTGTGCAACAACACAGTGGATGTACTTATGAACCACCATATTTGCACCAGGGTAGCATGGCTGTTGAGTTGATGGTGCAGTGGCTGACTCTTGATGGACCATATCACTGGCAGGATTTTGTAGTAGTGTATCTTGGAGTGAAGACAGAGGCATGCCAGCAGGGCCTTGAAATTGAGTCTGCAAATGCTGACTTGGAGGACCATGAATGAAAGGATGCATCAGAAGCATATTGAACCAATAACCAGTGCAGGGATAGTGATGTTAAAGGACCTCACTGTGCAAACACAACAATGGCTAGACACTTGTTAAAGTGCCTAACCAAAAATATTGTTGTAGGTCAATGCTCTGCCTAGCTGCTACACTTGCAAGCAAGAACGTTCAACCCTAAAGGGAATTGCTACTGAGAATGGCCGATGATACTAAAGACCTGAAAGTGTGCAGAGTGCAGGAACAAGCGCACAGGTACGTAGAGCATGGGAATGCAGAAGTGTGGTCGATGAGCAGTCAATGCAGGAGTGCAAGATGCTAAGGTAAGGGGTAGGGAAGTCTTAAGGAATGGCGCAGTGTTAAGGTCGTACTCAAAGGGTAACTGGATCTGAAGGGCTTCGGCCTCAGCTCATGCACTGTACCCCTTACCCGAATATTGCCCCTTATTTCAGGAAGGCAAGACTAGCGCGTCTGGAAGGTCAGATGAGTAGCGTAACAGATCCGGGTGACTTCTGGATGAGGGATAAGTATCATAAGGCTAATCCGGATGAGTCCAGACTAGAAACTAACAGTAATGGACTGTCAGGGACAGAGGCAGATATGGATAGACTATAGGAATCAATCCTAAGTCTCGGAGGGTGATGAGAGTAGGGGTACTCAAGTCCAGAGGACAGGAATGAGTAGAACTAAGATGATATTCAAACTGAGGTACTACAGAAAGTTACAGGAGGTTATATACTATAGGTATCTAATGGAATGATTAATCAGCAGAGTCCGAGGCTATGTATGAAGCATGTGGATAGTCTATTGGTAAGTAGAAATGGATCACAAATCATGAAACGGAAATGAAACATAGGTAGCAGATAAGGGAGCAGGATGGATATACAGATAACTGAAATACCGGAGTTAGGGGGTTACCAAAAAGAGACAAGTGCTGGTTGTGGATTCGGATGAGTTGTGGACCGGACTGGATGAGTGGGACAGATTGGATGATGAGATGTTGGAGGGAGATAAGATGTGGATAGGATCAGAGATAAGATGTGGATCTGAGATGAGATAAGGGTTGGATCTGAGATCCGGATATGCGGATATGACATGCGGGTAACAAGTGAGGGCAAGGGTATTGATTGCATGGGTAAGGAAAGTCAAGACAAGGTGTCCAGGTATAAGGTAACCAATAGGGGCTAAAAGCGCACACTAATGGTGACTGCTCCTAAGTAAAACCTAAGGGAAGGAAATACTGTAGAAGGGGAGTAAATACGAAGTAGTCACCCTAGGCACTTTATACTAGCTAAACCCTCTCAGAAACAGAAGGGACAGGACAGACAGGCAGTAGGAATATGTAAAGACATGTAATAAGACTGCAACACTTGTTACATCACACAAGGCAAGGCAAAATACGTACCAATGAGGTAGGATGGACAATGGACTGATGCAGGACATTTGTAAGGTAGTCTGAAGGCATGGGAAATTGACCACAGGTATGCACGGGTCCGCAGAGCGTGGGAATATACATCTGGAGTGGGTTGAGTGCGGGAAAAGCGGTCGATGGTTTTGTAGCTTTCCATCACCTATATCAAAAGATGGCCATTGCAAGCCTAGTGGGAATATGATCATCACATCGCATTGGCCCTCATCAATGAAAGGACTCTGGCTTGGAGAACTAGGGTTTGAGTCAGACATGTTGAAGATGATTGATGCAGCAACTCACCCCTCACTAGCAGGATTATATACCACAGACAACCTGAGTACGTGTCCAGATGGATCAACATTGTCAGATGATTGAAAAACCATTGTTTTTGACAGAGATGAAGAATGCTAGGGTTGCAGAAACTAAGTGGAGCCCATTTTATGATGACCAAAACTTACCTTCAATGACATTGCAGTGTCTTGCACAGTGAGGGCTTCATTTTCTTGACAAGGTCACCTGCAGTTAGTAATAACCACCACCATGTGTGGCTGGTTGCAGGTCAGTGTATGCAGTATGATTCCAGGGTCTGGTCACTGCCCTGTAGTGCCACACAAGCCCCACAGGTCCAGGTTAGGTTAGAGATTTACAAAAGTAGCTAGCATGTGTGTGTTAAGAACCATGCTCAAGGGAGAGAGAGACTGACTCAGAGGGGCTTGGCCTCAGCTTGTATGCTGTGCCCCTTACCTGAGTATGTGCCCTTCATTTCAGAGGAAATCTGATGATGGTCTGACAAAGTCCAGAGGACTTCCGGAGGAGTGTGGGAGATTTCTGGAGAAATGCAGGAAGTGCTCAGGAGAGTTCCCACTGCAAGGTAATACT